TTTTTTTTATTGATTAACTTGTCTTGCGAATAGCTATATTGATGGCGCCATCTTTAATAAAAACTTAAACTCAAAAACCAAGCGAATATAGCAGATGTGGCTGATACCACTGGCTTCAGCACGCTTGCATTTATAAAGGACGACGATTCCAATATGATTCTAACGATTTTGTAAGGATTTAAAAATATTCATCCTCTGTGATATGAGAACACGTTCAGTTGGAGAATCGCGGTTAACCGTTGGTTTTGGATCGGTTCGAATGGCATGGGTAGGTGTTATATTTGATAATAAACTCAACTGGAGATCGCATGTTAAACATATAGAATCCAAATTGACACCTCGAATAGATCTACGTTTCTTATCTTGCTCTACTTCAGAACCAAATATTAAAATGATGTTAAATTTATTCAAATCTTTAATTAGAACAATTATCACGTATGGTTCTCATGTTCTATTAACAGCAGGCTACAAAATTTTGGAACGACTACAAGTGGCACAAAATAAAGCCTTGCGAGCAGCATTTGGAGTACCTTTTTACATATTTGTAGAATACATTCATCAGCTCAGCAACATTCCCAAAACAAAGAACCATGCTACAGTCTTACTTAAACAAGCAATTTCAACAGCTCAAAATTCCAGAGATAAAATATTCGAATCAGACCTGAAACACATGGTGTCACAGCTTTAAAAAAATGGAAATTTAATTGTCGAAAAAATACGTAGGATATAAGACATCCCATGTCGTATGGAATGGCCCATAAAAGGCCGTAAACGGCTCGAAAACGGCGAAAAACGACTGCCGTTACCATGATCGTTTACGATGTGTCGTAAAACGGCGAAAAACGGCAAAATACGATATCCGTTACGATGGTTGTTTACGTATCAGCGAAAACGGCTGTCGTTACGACCTCTGCTTTTTCACCGTGTCATACTGTTTTTCATCTTATAAATATAAGCGTCCTCAAATCATCATCAGACATTTTCTGATAAAACATAATCGATTGCTCACTGTTTGTTAAACAAATTGATACTATTTTTCATCTTGATTGCTTTCACCATCTAATTCAATAGCAAGTATTTTAATTAAATAAATACGTTCATTTTATTTCGATCTATCTTAATCAAATATTCAAAGACAAATATTTTATTTAAAAAGAAAAATTTATTTTTTTTTATGTAGAATTTAAACCAATAAAATAATTCACAAGAAGCATTTTACTCCAGTAGAAAAAAACAATTTCTTAAATTGAAAGCAATAAAATATTTGAAGGCAAATAATTTATTTAAATAGAAAAATTAATTTATTTTTATTTAGAATTTGAATCAATGAAATATTTTAAGACAAGTATTTTATTTAAAAAAATTAATTTATCCTTTTTATTTAGAATTTAAATCAATAAAATGCTTAACAGTCAGCATTTTATTTAAAAATATTTATTTATTTTTCTTTAGATTTGTCTCAATGGAATATTTGTCATTGACTGTTTTAAATAAATATATTTATTTTGTTTTATTTAGAACTTGTCTCAATGAAGTATTCAAAAGTAAGTATTTTGTTTAGATAAACAAGTTTTATTTGTTGTCTATAGGGAAAGTGAGTAGAGGAGAAAACCGTCCTTGGGCAACATATAAATAGAGTCATAAACGAGGAAAAACGGCCCTCAATCCGAGCTGATGGAAAACGGTGAAAAACGGCGATCGTTTTTCATCGTTTAGGGCACTAATTACCCCGTTTTTTCACCTTTTTGGCATTTTAAGATGTCATTTCAGACGGCCTGAATGATGGACCTGGGATAAACTCAAGGACCCTATACTTTCTCTTTCTGATTTCTTTTTTTTCCTCTCTCTTCTTACGTTGTTTTTTTCACAGATTTATTCATTAATAAAGCGTTGAAACCAAAAAAAAAACAAATAGATGGAAAATAAAAACTGAAATATGCTTGATAATTTTATGCTTTATATTGTAGATTTCTTAAAAAATTGGATCCAATAAAATGATTTTATCAACAATCTCTGTTGTTTTCTTAAAGTTGATTTCGTTATATTTGCATAAAATTTTAATTAATGAGAAATTATGGACATCATTCTACAGACTCAATAACAATCATATTATAACAAAAAAAAATAGAAAAAGAAAAAAAGAACTTTATAACAATTCAAGACGAACAGTTCTTGATTTTTATTATCAATAGGTTTATTTTATGATGGCATATTGATAATAACTGAATCTTGTGGTTGTTTTTCGTCTAATTTATGACTAATTGTATTTAAACCTAATGATGTTGCTCCTGTATGACGTCTTAACAATGGTATTAATTGATGAGTTCGTTTTAATGCCAAAGCTAATGCATGTTCTTTATATTTATGGAACCATATATGAACACCTGATCTACTATTCATGTTTGCATCATTAATATCAAAATCAAGAACTGATGTTAAACATTCTGTTTGTTTAGGTTTGTTATGTTTACCACCACCAACAATTTGATGAGCTTGTCTTTGATCAGATTTTGATAATTGACTCCAATGTATATGAAGTGCACAATTATGACTAGTTTTATTAGTATTTATTTTTTCCATGGTGTTATGTACTTGATTTCGAACAACTTCTGCTTGTCTTACTGGACAATAAGCACCCATGAAACGCCAAGGTAAACCAAGTAAAACTGGATCTACTATTGGATTAAATGCAATTGATAATGTTGCTAAATCTGCACACATACATACCATACTTCCACCAAGACTAGCACCAATTAAAATAATACGTTGATAAAGTGTAGAATATAATTTTATTAAATCGCGATAATATGTTAAACCTTGCCATTGATAATTTGGATCTTGTAAATAAAAACATTGTGCTGGATCTGTAAAAAATAATGCATCAAATTCATCGTTTGTATCATGATGTACTTCTTTCATTGAACCACGCCATTCTGTTGTTCGTACACCATAAACCATCATTGCAGCACCAGCAAAACTTATACACAATGTTGGTGAACGATGTTTACATAATAAATTCGGTTCAATATGTGTAGCAGAACCTTTTGGATGGCATTGACATTTATTATTAGCTGGACAATATGTTTGCCGTTTTTCTTCAAGACTATCAAAACGTATACGTGTAAAGGCAGACAATTTCGATAGACAATATCCATTACCATTGTTACGTTTTATAAAAATGTATAATAAAGTTAAAATACTAGTAATCACAACAGGAGCTATTAAAAATAAAAGCCATTTGCATTGAATCATTTTTTCTTCTTTTATTATCAACGATAATATAAAAGTAACTAGACAAATATATGCTGTATATGAGCGTATATATAGGAGAATAGTTATTTACCAACGTCAACATATATTTGCACTCTGTGTGATTGTTGACGGTCATGGTTGATTATTCAGATATCAATTTTTGACATGACGCATGTTTCTTTCCATTATAATGCGTCGAAAACACAAAAGAAGTGTCTTTAAAGGTAAATACGTCATCATACTATTGAAAAAAGGTGAGCAATATGCGATAACATGACAAATGGGTATAAGCATTCACCCACATGGAAAATAAATTTATACATAAAACTTAAATTAATGGTGTATTGCTTGAATATATTATTTGCATTTATATTATTTGAATATGATTTAGAATTTTGTGCAATAAAAATACGATATGACATATTATGTATGAACTCAAACGGCAGATTATGATTATTTCAAATTGACTAAACAAAAAATTAATCAATCGATTAGTATATATAGTTTCCATTACTATCTTAAACTAAAGATAACTGTACACGACAAAGGTCTAAATAGATTAATGTTTTGTACGTCTGATCTGCCTATCATGGTCTGTGGATTTTTTTTTGTATACGCTGATTTTATATAATAATATATGAAAAATATCAGAAGATGATCTTCTTTGAAATCGACGTAAGATAATTATATGAAATATTTATCAAATCAATACATTACATATCTACAGAAAATAGATAACTAGAGTACGTTAACATTTAGCAAAAAAAAAGGTCTAGTTTTTTTTTTAAAGAAATTTGATCAATTAATTGAATAAAACATATCAATATTAGATATTTTACAAGTATATAAATGTATTAAAAAAGAATGAGTTCAAAGTTTGTCTTAGATAATAAAAGTAAACGCTTCAAAAATAAAGAGAACGACTCAATGAAATAGATCAATAAAATGTAGGAGTCGAACTACCAATGAAAAATTTGATTATACCTTGTCATTAATAATGATTACGTCTAGTAAACATAAACACATGACAGATAAAAATAATAATACAAGATTCGAGAAATATCTCTTGCAGTTTTATTCCTTAAACTGCGTCGTTTTTCTTTAAAAAAAAGCTTCATTTAATTTTCTACAAAGATATGTGAACGAAATTATTATAAAATATAACTGTAACAACACTTGTGATGAAAATGAATATATTTTGAAAGTACCTTTTTTCATACACACATTTATACAATAGTAATGTTTTTTCTTCAGCTTATTCATTATAGGTCAAAGTGCAATTTTATGTTTATATTCTTCTATTTTCAAGTATACTCTTTTTCACAATATTCAAAACGAGTCCATTGAATAATATCATTACATTTTAGAAATATTTTGCCTTGGCAAAAAATAATAGAAAATTTTATTTTTATACGTAATGTGTAGTTAAAGCAAATCGTATGTTGATTAGGTCATTAAGCAATATTGTTAGCAAAACAAAAAAAAAGAATATTTTTTTCTTCAAATTGGCAAGTATTATATTTTGATTTAACCATATGAAAATCATGAGCAAATCTCATAGTAGAATCGAAATATCAAAATATAAGGAAAGAAAAGAAAAATAAAATTATTTATGTGCATTTCAAGATCAAAATAAATTAATCAAAGGTTAGATGATAGAGTTTCTAAAAGATTAAAAAAAACTGATGTTTTCCGTTTTTCTACATGTGATCAAATTGCGACGAGAAATACATAGAACCATAAGAAAAATTGTGACAAAGAAAAGCTGCTTTCAAAGCATACTAGTTTTCACTACATGAGCTTGCATGATTACATTTTGTAACAACACCGTTCACATATTCTTGTAGAGAATGGAGTGAAGACTCTTTCTGAAAAAACACGACAAAATTTAAGAGACAAAGCTGCAAGAATTATTTTTGAAATGTTGATATCGATAGTCATTATACATCACCTATTATTTTAAAAGTCATTCAGTAAATCCAATGACACAGATAGTCAACTATATCGATTTATAATCATATCCTTCACTCAAAGCATGACATTTGTATATAAAATATCATAAGAATATTATAGACAGACGGTGCCTGTGACCTGTTTCAATCTTTACTGCACAATTATAATATATATACACATTAAAGTACGAATGCTTTGCTAATATTTAATGAGAAAGAGGAAAGATGAAAAACAATAAACATAATGAGTATCATGATCGATGTACATGAAAAATATCACATGAAAAAAAAAGGTACATGTCAATCATTATGTGAAATATACAAAATATTTTGAAATGATCGAAACGTGCGTGTTGATTTAGATTTATTTTGTATTTATCAATATGATACTTGATATTGTCACATAGTGTCAGTAATTTTTTTTTTTTGAGTCGTATCTTTTATATCTAGACTCTTAATAATATAAGCTTATAACTCAAGATAATTATTAATGATAGGAATAAGAATTTTGTTCATATATTCTCATTCTCAGCATTAATTATAGTTTTACAATAAATAAATAAATAAATAAATTCATTTAATACTTACGAATGTTTTAGAATAAATTGCATGAAATCTTGATATATTTTTCTTTCCAATTTTTTTCAGCATAAAAATATTCGGTTATGTGTTCAAAATTAAAGAATTTTTAAGTTCTAACAAAATTTAAACAAGTTTCTCAGGTTGATACCAGACTAAAACCATTTGCATCTACACAATTATTCAACTTTGATTTCTTAGTTTTTACTTAAATATATAGATATGTACGGTTATCCTATCCTACAGGATAGGTTAAAAGTTTTGCAGCACACGGTAAGATATGAGTTAGAAAATTTTTCTTAGTCAGGATATAGGATATGAAAAATACTTATCCTGTACATGTCTATACAAATTGAATGATTTATGTAATAAACTTTTGTTGATCAAAGAAAATATTAAAAGTGCATTATTTAAAATAGATAAATAGCGTTAGGGAACAAAATATTTGATCAGTAAAATAGATTAAATGATCAGTATAAAGATTTAATGATCAGTACTAAAATTATCAGTAAGTAATAACAAAATAATCAGTTTATTGGATATAAGTAACTGTAAAAAATACAATTTATTTCAGTAAAAAATACAAATTTTATCAGTATAAAATAGAAATTTTATCAGTAGAAAAATAAGTTTTAACAGTATCAAGTAACATAGTAAGAGAAAAATAAATTTGAATAAATAAGGAAAAATCTGAAAGAACATATAATAGAAATCCAAAGGACAAGTGAGAAAAAAAGAAAAAGAAAATGAAATTATTGTACTAGGAAAGCGAGTTTAGCCTTAGCTGGTCTACCTCTTTTTCTTTTCTCACCGATGGGAACTGTTTTTGCTGATGGTGGTGGTTTGCAATATTTTAAATAAATAGCCATACCAACAACGTGCTTGCATATGTAATTCTTAAAAACCTTGGACAGTTGCATTTTGATTCTTTCCAATCTGAACCATTATCCATTTCCATACACCAAATATCAAATGATTCTGTGAATCGATTAACTGCCCCAACTAGCCATCTGATGAGTATTTCGACGCGTCGATTTTGACTTCCGTTGGGCATCGAAATTTCAAATCGACCCCTGGGATTGCCATTTTCCGATGGATCGAGAGCTCGGCGATAGGTTGTTTTTACTAGCAGTTTTCAACCACTCGAATGATCGTTTCCGATGGATCGGAATCTGATTGAAAAAAAGGATTTTTGTCCGATAGATGTCTCAATTTCGAGTTGTCCAAACCCATCGAATATAAATTTCGAGCCGTCGAAACCTATCGAATAAATGCGGAGAAGTAGATTTGAACATGGGTACTTACGATGCACTTTTCTCGAACAGTTGATCTAAATATGAACTGTTATTCTCGTATCAAAACGACCTTTTTAATTCATAAGAAGATAGTACTTTTTTCATGCTTCCTACCCTAGTGAATGTACTGAGCTAAAGATACCCATGTACTGAGTAAGCTTCAGCAAGGTACCCGGTATGGATATTTCGAAAATTCTCAGTTATTATACTGATGTAGGTACTGCATTGGGTACCCATAGCAGTATGTTTACTGAACAAGTACTTGTACGAGTACCCGCATCTGCAATTTTACTGAGGAAAGCTCTACAGGGTACCCTAGATTTGTCGCGTTCTGTGTAGCAACTGTTCATTCACCGTTTTCTTTTGCACACACGGCTTTATATAAACAACTTGACAAAACATAAGAAATTAATATTTTTTCATACTAATTTTTTCTAGATTATTTTTTGGCTATTTACTAGTCGAGAACATGCCGATCTCGATCATAAATTGAGAAAGGACTACCCTGAAGTGGTCTGATGGAGATCCGACCAACTCAAGTCCGGTCAGATCTTGAAATTTGACCTACTTGAGGTTTCAGAATTGGAAAAATTAAATAAAATCGAAAAAATATCATAAATTTCTTTGAGAGAAAAAAAAATGAAAAAAGTCAAAGGTTAGGTTCGATCATCAACATACTGCAATTTTGGCAACAGGGTACCTGAAAATACTGTACAATAGTACCCAGTTGAGTGCTTGGTCAGTACCTTCAAGTACCCATTTACTAGACGCTTTCCAGTAGGGTACCTGATAAGATACTTGAGTATCTAACAGATCCTGTGACATACTAGTAGAAGGGTACTTCTTCGGGTACCCCTAACTCAGTACATTCACTAGGGTAACTTTTAATTTTATTTTTTGAAAATTGAAAGTAATATTTTTGGTCCAGAGAGAAAAACTTCGTTTCAACATTAGAAATAATATTTTTCATCCAGAAAAAAGATTATTTTTTTGAACAATAAAAATAATATTTTTTATCGAGAAAAATTTTATCATGAAAAAAATTTCATCAAGAAAGAAAAACTTTTTATATCTCTATAAGTAACACAAGAATTTCTTGTAATTTAAGACTTTGTATAAATCACTTATTGAATAAATATAACGTGCAATATGTGATGATCAACCAATTTGCACG